AACTGTAATATCTTTAACGGCACAGATGATGTAGGATGGTGTGCCGAGTGCCATATTTATAATCCTGTCATAATAAACAGACCGGCTTCAAAAAAGCAGCATTAAAGACATGCTTTAATGCATATTTAGTGAATTTCAAATAAATATTGTGAATGCTTTTTTCATTTATTTTTGTGCATGTTTTCATTAAATTAATGTTGGTCGCAGTTACAGTACAGTAACACACACACACACACACACACACTCAGCTGGGTTTTGGTGATTTATTCTGCTCAAGATCACACAGGCGTAGAGAATCATATAAACTACCAACATCATCCACTAACAGTAACTAATGTCCCATGAACTATTGTATTTGTATCATATTTTTTAATGTTCTTGGAGTCTAGGTGGCACTGAGTATTTACTTTAGCCTCATTTAAATCAAGCACTGACAGACTGACCACTCTAGATGAGTATAACTGTAATATCTTTAACGGCACAGATGATGTAGGATGGTGTGCCGAGTGCCATATTTATAATCCTGTGTCATAATAAACAGACCGGCTTCAAAAAAGCAGCATTAAAGACATGCTTTAACGCATATTTAGTGAATTTCAAATAAATATTGTGAATGCTTTTTTCATTTATTTTTGTGCATGTTTTCATTAAATTAATGTTGGTCGCAGTTACAGTACAGTAACACACACACACACACACACACACACACACACTCACACGCACGCACGCACACACGCTCACGCACACACTCACACTCACACACACTCTCACTCTCACACTCACACACGCACATCCTGATGACACATTCAGACACACAGAGATCGTGTCGTCGTGTCCTCTAAAGTTTGTGCAGACGGTCAGCTCAGCACACAGACGCTGCTGCTGAATCTCCTGAAACCTCATCTGGATTCAGATGCTCGACACAGCAGTTCCACACCGAGCTGAACCTGAAAACAGCCTCGGATCGACTACAGCGCTTCAGCAACCACACCACTGATCACTGACCACAAATAAACAGAACAAAACCTTCATTAAAAAAATAATTTCCAAGGCAGCATGATGTAATAAAATATTAAAATTAAACTGAAATAAACATGAATAAAAACTATAGACATGTTTTTAAAAGTTCAGTTTCAGTATTGAAGAGCACGGAACACGCAGCTGGAGCTCAGAGGCTGTTTTTATGAGACGCACTGTAAATGTTTCTACTGTACTGACTCATGAAACAGTCTCTGCCTGTGTGAATGTGTGCGGAAAATCAGACGTGTGACAGAGATAAAGAGCAGAATGACAGACAGACAGAGAAAAAGAGACACACACACACACACACTCACACACTCTCTCTCTCTCTCTCTCTCACACACACACACTCACACCACACACACACACACTCTCTCTCTCTCTCTCTCTCACACACGCCAGAGCAGATTGAGCTGTTTGTGAGAGCCTAACGCAGTTACGTAGCACACAGAGTGAGTGTGTGTCGACTCGACTGTAGAGACCGTGACACAATTCAACACAATCAAGAACAGCATTAACATGCTAATAATATTACTCGTTATGATTCAACAGCAGCCTCATGTGATCTTCTCATACAGCTCCTGACTGCTGAATCTACCAACATAACTCATCACGAGGAGCCTGTACTAACACGATCCTCACCATCTCAGCATTCATAGGACCTCACTACAGCTTAAACACTAAAACACGACATCCTGATGTGTTCTGACCTAATAACACATGATCTGAGCCTCTGAGTACATACTTCCCATGCCTGCAGACGGGGAGGAGAACATGCTTCCAGCCGACAGGAGCGATAACAACAGCAGAGAAACTGCTCCTGTCAGGTGACGCCATCAATCCTCCTCACATGAGGACAGCAGCTTTGATCAGGACAACACTAACAGAGAGAAACGCCAGACAACCTCAAAACCAAACGACTTAAGGGCTCTGTTCTTGAACAACAGAATTAGTGAGTGATGAGTTATTTCCAAAGCATTACACATGAGAGTACTGAGTGAAAGTCAGCAGTTCAACATTCAGAGCGGACTGACTCGTGCAAACGCAAAAATATTCCATGATTAACACCATATCTTATCTATGCCAGTGCACTTAAAATTTCAAGATGCTTAATTTCAGAGAGTTTTTATGCAGAAATTCATGCATTTTTGGTTTCACTGATGAGCAGTTAAGCAGAATCAAATATGGCACCAATCTACCAAAGCTGAAATGTAAAATGAAACTGTTTTTTGAAATCTAACAGGTTATTGTGCCTTTAAACAAAATATCTTCTAAAACGAAGTTTGCATATGTTTTATGTTGAGTATCATATCTGATTCATCAGGCTTTTATGGCTCATATACTCTGATATAGTGAGAATATGGAGGAAAAAACAGCTAGATTTTATTCAGAGACTCAAACTGAGCAATTTGCTGCTGATATTTATATGATGAGATTCTGCTGCTTGTACTGTAAATCAATGAGATCTTTATAACAGTAGAGCAGATACTGACATAAAATGATGTAAATATCAGTCGTCGCTCTATATCTCCAGTAATAATAAGATGAGATGTAAATGCTCCAAACATATAATGCAGTGATTGAGAGCTGAAGAAATAAAGGCTCCTCAGAAGATGTGAGATGTTCTGGAGGCTTGTGAAGATCATTCCTCCGCTGAGGAACAGTGAAAGTAAAGCTTCTGGAAACAAACGCTCCTCAAAAGATCCTGAGGATCAGATTTGAGACTCTAAAACATGATTGATGGAGAATCAAGTAAAGCTGAGCTGCTTCAGTCCAGTAAGAGTTCATCTGAGCTGCTTCAGTCCAGTAAGTGTTCATCTGGAGATATTACTGCAGTTATTCTGACCTTTACTTGATCAAAACCAGTCAAGATTTGACACGAGAAGCTCCAGCTGAAGCAGTTACACTAAAAGAGCTTTGACTTAAACTCTCAATCAGAGACAGAATGCATGCAGTAGATTGAGTGTGAAACAGGTTTGACAGCAATGTTAGATCATTCAGAGGCGATACAGCGGGCCTCGTCAGGTTAAAGTTAGTATATGAGCCTCACAGGAGGATCTGATCCACACTGTAAAAGCCTGAGTGTGTCTGCAGCTCTTCTTAAATCAGCTCCAACAGTTGCTAAGATGCACTCCTGCTCTGCCCAACGAATCCCACAGCCTTTCCGTCCCCCATCCGTATTCCTCACAGCCCTGTGTTTCTCAGCGGCGTGAATGAAAGCTCTTCCTGCAGCCCACTGTTGGCCGCTGGCGAGAGACGCTAAAGAGAGCGTGAGCCAAGAACAGGCCAGCATCTAAATATCCAGAGCCCTCTCTCTTCACCCTCCACTGCACCAACAAGCATTCAGCCTTTCATTCCAATGATAATGAACAGACCGGAACAAGAGCGCCGTCCAAACCACAAGAGCCCCGCTCACAATGGTTTTGTGGCCATGTCATGTGCATCCGTGAGAGCAGAGAACGCTGCCATGTTTTATTAGCAGCGACGAGAGAGAGAGAGAGAGAGAGAGAGAGATCCATGGGAACATAAACATGCAGGATCTTTGTGAATGCATGCTTGTTCTTACAAAGTTGTAAAGACAGCGACTGGAGGCTCAGGTTTGACATGCATTCACCACACCGCCACAGCGACGCTACATGAGCTGATCTCTCACGCAAACTCTACTGAATGCACACGCCTTCTGTGTGTTTCTAAACATTACTGTAAAGCAAAATTTGCAAGGTTATTCATTTAGCAAGTTCTGTTTACAATAAGTAAATAAATCGAGGGTTGTTGCACTATTTTTGTCATGAACATGCCGTATATCACCTGCATGCACATGTATTCTCTGTTTGTAAGGTTTGTAAACACTTCTGTAAAGTCAAATTTGCAGGGTTATTCATCTGTAAAGAAAGTAAATAAATAAAGTGTTGTAAAACAATTTTGGACATGAAAATACTGTATATCAACCGCTTGATCCTGACGTCACGTGCACTCAGACAGCGAGCTGATCTCTCACCTCAAACCTTCTGCATGCACATGTTTGTAAAGTAGGTTTGTATAATATGTAAAGTAAAAACTCTATGAAGAATAAAGCAAAGCCACTGAAATTACAAATGAGATATCAATGCCTCTCAGTGTAACCTGCATCTTGTAGCCAGCATGCTGAGATGAAGACCTCACGGGTCAGTGTCAGAATCTCAGCTGTGCTCAGACTTGTGCCAAAGTCTGCGAATAAGCCTCAGGGATCTCACTATGTGTATTCTCTGTTTGTAAGGTTTGTAAACACTTCTGTAAAGTCACATTTGCAGGGTTATTCATCTGTAAAGTAAATAAATAAAGTGTTCTAAAACAATTTTGGACATGAAAATACTGTATATCAACCGCTTGATCCTGACGTCACGTGCACTCAGACAGCGAGCTGATCTCTCACCTCAAACCTTCTGCATGCACATGTTTGTAAAGTAGGTTTGTATAATATGTAAAGTAAAAACTCTATGAAGAATAAAGCAAAGCCACTGAAATTACAAATGAGATATCAATGCCTCTCAGTGTAACCTGCATCTTGTAGCCAGCATGCTGAGATGAAGACCTCACGGGTCAGTGTCAGAATCTCAGCTGTGCTCAGACTTGTGCCAAAGTCTGCGAATAAGCCTCAGGGATCTCACTATGAACTCAAATATTTCTCAGATTCAGATAGCACCTCATTTGTGTTCTTCACAGGAATTTCCGGAGAAGCACACGAGACAAATGTTGACACTAAACTCTCAATCAGAGAAACCTAACAGACAGCAAAACATTCTCTTCTGGGAGGTTTAAAAGGGATTGAGCACACAGCCAACAGCAGACCGAGACAGTGAGCCACGATCAGTGTTTTTATTCTAAATTCAGAGGTGCGTTTGCTGTGAACACATAACATCAGCTGACAGCAAACTCCTCGTGTACGGGGGCCGATGTAAACACCTGCCTCACGACTCTCACACATAAGCGCTGTCGTTTACCTGCGTAGAAGCGCAGGAGTGATCCCAGCTCAGTGTTCATCCCCTCCTCCTGGACCCGCCAAGGGTCTTTAAATCCCAGTTTAAAGAGAAAGTCGTTCTGAATCTGTAGGGGCCTCTCATCGGGCCCCAGACGCCGGGCGGCCTCGCCGTGCAGCTGAACGTACAGCGCCGGGCTGGAGTCCGAATCTGTGACCGCTTCGTCTGGACTGCTCCCGGCGGCCGGGGTTTCGGCTTCATCCGTCTCGGGGTCCGGCAGGACGGGCCCCGTCGCACAGTCCAGCTCCAGCTCGTCCGAGGAGCTGCCGTATGTGTCCAGGCCCTCTGCGGCGCTGCTGTCGAACGCCGAGGCCTCCGTGCCCAGGATCATGTCGTCGCTGAGCGAGTCCCGGTGCTGGCTGAACCGGGCCCCGGAGCTCAGGTCGTCGCAAGCGCTGCTGCTCTCCACATCGGAGCCCGCGGACCTCTTGACTGAGTCCTCGTCCTGTGGGGACGCGCGGTCCACTTTGGAGGGTGTGTAGATGTCGTACTCCTGCTGCTGGTACTGATGGTCCTTCTCCAGCAGCAGGAGCCGCAGCCGGTCGTTGGGCTGGTCCGGGAGGCTCTCGGCCCCTGTGTGAAGGTGTCTAAGTGGGTACTCGCCGTCGCAGTTCCCGTTAGACGGGTAGCTCTTGGCGTTCAGCCTCAGGACCGAGCCTGATTTGCCGCTGGCCTGCTGCAGGCGCTGGGCTATCTCGGCCGCTGAGCTCTCCACGGTGCACAGAACGGGCCGGGCCGGCTGAGACCGCACCAGCAGCCGGTCGTGCACGTGTACGGAGCCACGGCGCAGGTCCTGGCGGACCCACTGGCGGTCGGACAGCTGCAGCTGAGGACTGGCTCTGTGTCTCAGCAGCGTCTGACTGCGGCTATGAGACGAGCTGATGCTGGACACATGCCTCTTTACCCTCCTCTTCCTCAGCAGCAGACTGGAGCTGCTCTTGCAGGCTTTACTGAGCTCGGCTGGGCTCTGGCTTCGGGTCCGCGGCTCGTCTGAGCTCGTCTGACGGGGGTTTGACGCTCTCTGGCCTTCATCGTCTTCTTCTTCATCCTTGTGGTCTGCTGTGGATCTCAAGGCCACACTCAGAGCGCTGCTCTTCTTCAGTTTAACGCTCTCCATCCTCACGAGATCACTCTTAGTCCATTTGAGCGGAGATATGAGCGCCGCTCGACGCGCGGAGGGGCGTCATGTACGCACGCGGGGATGATCGCGGCGCGCCGCTCGGCAGCAGATCATGGAGTCTGAAAGCAGACGACGCAAATCTCGCGAGAGTTCACGTCGCCCTGAAACCTGAAAGGAAAGCAGAAGAGAACCGGAACGGTGTTTTTATTGCAGCCTGGCATTTCTAGTGGTATTCCAGCGTATATTTGTACTGTTCTTTGCATATAAAAAAAATAAAATAATAATAAATATAAGAAGGGGGAAGAGACGTCACTGTAAACTCGCAGGAATTGCAAACCATCGCGAGAGTTCACGTCCTCAGGCTGACGCTTCAGAGATTTGTGTCAGGGAACAAGGAGGCGTTGGATTTATTCAGTGCTGGTATTGTGTGTGTGTGCGTGTGTGTGTGTGTTTCAAACCATTTCCTCGTTTGCTTTTGCAAGTTTACTGCTTTTTGTATATTCTTAAATAAAAAGAGCGAGGAGACGCTTCACGCAAGTCTCGCGAGAATAAAAACCAGCTAACGCCCCCCGGACCTGCTGTTTTGGATCGTTCAAACTCATCAAACATGTGCATATGTTAGTATTTTTGACTTGATATTCACGCTGGGAGTCGCTAAAGTCGCGTCGCTGTCATCCTTTATTTTCCAATGTGAAATATTAATAAACTCTGCGAGAAATCCGATGTGCGCCGTTTTAACATAAAACTCCATTTCCCGTGATGCGCTGCGGCGTTTGTTTTTATTGGTGCGTCACAGTCATGTTCATCCATGTTTACGTCCAGAAGTTATAAAACAGCCGCAGGCATCAGTGCATTGACACTAAGTTGATCACATCTCAAGATTTATCACATATCAAATAAATATTCAACAAGTCATGCATAGGCTTTCGGGTAATATATGTTGTTTTTAATGAATACCAGATAAAGTATGAGCCAATGGACAGGTGGAGCTGCAGCAGAAGGGTTTGACTGCCATCTAGCGCTCACACGGACGAACAACACTCAGCAGCGGAGAATACAGCAAACACGCTCATTCAGTGCCATTAAGCACCAATGTACTGCTGATTGAGTGATAGAGAAGACAAAAACACATCTTTAACAGGCCATAACTATATAATATTTTCTGAAATTTCTGAAAATACAGATGAAAATCATCGTGTAATCAAAATATTTTGTTTTACTTTTCTTTTTGGTAATGTTGGTAATGTTATAAAAGCCCTAAATAGTCATTTTCTTAATTCTACAACATTAAATTGTTTAAAAATAACTTTTCTCTTATAAAAATGTGTGTCCATAAATCTTGTTACCGTATCATACTTCACCTTTAAATCAGTGTAATTATGTAACATAACTATGTAAGATGCAGGAAATGACGTCACGTTCCCTCACTGATGAGCTCTGAAACACTGAAAAGTCTGTGTGCTCTCTCTGAGAACATGTTTTAATCTAAAAAGTTCTAACACCAAGACTTATCAATTCTGTCAATTCTGTTACTTAAAGGGTCAACTCACACTCTCTCTCTCACACACACACACACACACTCGCAGCCACACTCAGAGCGCTGCTCTTCTTCAGTTTAACGCTCTCCATCCTCACGAGATCACTCTTAGTCCATTTGAGCGGAGATATGAGCGCCGCTCGACGCGCGGAGGGGCGTCATGTACGCACGCGGGGATGATCGCGGCGCGCCGCTCGGCAGCAGATCATGGAGTCTGAAAGCAGACGACGCAAATCTCGCGAGAGTTCACGTCGCCCTGAAACCTGAAAGGAAAGCAGAAGAGAACCGGAACGGTGTTTTTATTGCAGCCTGGCATTTCTAGTGGTATTCCAGCGTATATTTGTACTGTTCTTTGCATATAAAAAAAATAAAATAATAATAAATATAAGAAGGGGGAAGAGACGTCACTGTAAACTCGCAGGAATTGCAAACCATCGCGAGAGTTCACGTCCTCAGGCTGACGCTTCAGAGATTTGTGTCAGGGAACAAGGAGGCGTTGGATTTATTCAGTGCTGGTATTGTGTGTGTGTGTGTGTGTGTGTGTTTCAAACCATTTCCTCGTTTGCTTTTGCAAGTTTACTGCTTTTTGTATATTCTTAAATAAAAAGAGCGAGGAGACGCTTCACGCAAGTCTCGCGAGAATAAAAACCAGCTAACGCCCCCCGGACCTGCTGTTTTGGATCGTTCAAACTCATCAAACATGTGCATATGTTAGTATTTTTGACTTGATATTCACGCTGGGAGTCGCTAAAGTCGCGTCGCTGTCATCCTTTATTTTCCAATGTGAAATATTAATAAACTCTGCGAGAAATCCGATGTGCGCCGTTTTAACATAAAACTCCATTTCCCGTGATGCGCTGCGGCGTTTGTTTTTATTGGTGCGTCACAGTCATGTTCATCCATGTTTACGTCCAGAAGTTATAAAACAGCCGCAGGCATCAGTGCATTGACACTAAGTTGATCACATCTCAAGATTTATCACATATCAAATAAATATTCAACAAGTCATGCATAAGCTTTCGGGTAATATATGTTGTTTTTAATGAATACCAGATAAAGTATGAGCCAATGGACAGGTGGAGCTGCAGCAGAAGGGGTTGACTGCCATCTAGCGCTCACACGGACGAACAACACTCAGCAGCGGAGAATACAGCAAACACGCTCATTCAGTGCCATTAAGCACCAATGTACTGCTGATTGAGTGATAGAGAAGACAAAAACACATCTTTAACAGGCCATAACTATATAATATTTTCTGAAAAAGTGTCTTATACAGATGAAAATCATCGTGTAATCAAAATATTTTGTTTTACTTTTCTTTTTGGTAATGTTTCATTATTTATAAAAGCCCTAAATAGTCATTTTCTTAATTCTACAACATTAAATTGTTTAAAAATAACTTTTCTCTTATAAAAATGTGTGTCCATAAATCTTGTTACCGTATCATACTTCACCTTTAAATCAGTGTAATTATGTAACATAACTATGTAAGATGCAGGAAATGACGTCACGTTCCCTCACTGATGAGCTCTGAAACACTGAAAAGTCTGTGTGCTCTCTCTGAGAACATGTTTTAATCTAAAAAGTTCTAACACCAAGACTTATCAATTCTGTCAATTCTGTTACTTAAAGGGTCAACTCACACTCTCTCTCTCACACACACACACACACTCGCACA